AAGGTCAGAGAGCATGTTTTTTGGATGGGTTTTCTGGGTGGTAAATACCATTTTATATTATAGCAAACTGTGTGTAGCTATTGCCAGAGATTCATATGGACTTTTAAATGTGTATGCGTGCATGACTGTGACCTATTCTCACCGCTTTGGCACTGGTTAAACAGCGGAGGATTTAGCTGTCTTAGGGCTTTTGGAGGAGGATTAACTTAAACAGACATCACGGAAACATCAAAACTGTCTCAGGTCGACCACACAAGATCATAAAATATCAGTCTCAATAGTGCGATATCAGATGAATGTAACGCCTCTCATTAAAACTCAGCTGAGCTAATGAAAATGCATTATCTCGGAAATGTGCGCTCCCACTTGCTTTACTCTTTTAAAGGTTTTTACCTGCCTCAACTGCAGCTCCTTACTAGTGCTGACAAGCTCATCTGTTAAATTTTTGGCATCAAAGCCGGGCAAAGTTCAGGTGGAAAAAAATATCTTGTCACTCGACTCCTAACAAAAACAAAGAGCCAAAAATAAAGCGCCTCTCGCTGCACAGGAAACTGTCATTTTCTGTTACACAAGCCAGCGGTAATCAAAAATAGACGGCAGGATGTTGTTCTTGTACTACTACGTTGATATCCACTGACAGCTTTTTTCCACTTTCACCAGACCGGAGAGTGAAGCGCTCGTAAACTGGGATGCAAATTACTAATAGTCGCTCCGCAGCGCTTAATAAGGGGTCCTGGAAAACTCCACGGCTACAAACAGGTCAAAGGGGGCTGAGAGGATATGAGAGGAGACCTCCATTAGCCGTGACACAGACCCTTGTGTGGGTGGGGGGAGCTGTGGGGAGGCCAGGCGGGGACCAGTGGAAGAGGGAAGTCATCTTGAATGTGCACCAGTGCCTCTGCTGCAGCCCTGTTGCCTAGCAATCAAAAATATTTACTCTTTACCCAAAACTGCAACGGGAATTTTTTTTTTTTCACATTCTGGAAAAGTGAAAACAATGAGACTTATCCATCTGCATTAATTGTGAAGGCTCCTGCCAGCCACGGTCATACAGAAATCCTGCTTGTCTGGAATGTTGATCTTGTGATAGGCTGGAGTAATGTAACTGTGTAACCATGGAGATGAACGACAAAAAAAAAACCCATTCTGGCTCTGATTGAGCCAGGCAGGTTGAATTATAAACCCTCTCAGTCAAGAAGTCTTAGAAATGTCTGTTTGTGTGTGTAACCGAATCTGAGTGCGTGTCAAATCACAATCCCCACACGACAAACCAAGCAGGGGCTGTATTTTCCTGCCGTCACAACTGTATGTCCGTTGCCATGGCGAGTCGCGCTGCAACATCTGGGTGGCCACGGGGTATTTTGTTTGCACTCCAGCCCAGTCCGCTGCAGCCAGCGTGGTGATGATCTGGAGTGGCGGAGGACTGTTTTGTGGCGCGTCAACGGGGGTTTCAGTTCCCGGGCACAGCCACCGTCTGCCGGCCCCGTTTTCGTGCCCACAGATGCTCGTTCCAGCTGGAGGGGATTACTGAGGACATGTACCAGCCTGGAACAACACTGAGGGTGCTGTGAGTGGGTATGAGGGAAGGGAAGAACCACACCTAGAAATCTGACAGCGCCACTGTGGCAGAGAGCAGACGTGCGAAAACAGCTGGAATAGAATGGACTGGTGGGGAAATAAGGAGGGAAAGTCTGGCAAGAGGGCAGGAGGGTTAGAAACAGGTGTAGTATTTAAGTGTATAGTATTTAAGTATAGTATCAAGACTCCATTTAGAGCTGTTTGTCTAGTAACAGATCTGATAGTTCATTTTCCTTAAAGTTAATTAGTAAGAGATGTGCTACAGATGCCATTCTTTGTGCCATTCTTTCAAAACTTGCATCTATTAAGCATTTTATCCACAGAAAACTTATTTTGGTTGACTTTAGCTGAGCTTTAGTTGTTAATAAATTGTCTTAAGCCAGTGTAGCTAACACAATTTTCTCCAGGATTAAGGAATCACCCCCATCTATCTAATATTTAATTATTCATTAAATCAATCCCTATCATTGGTCCTGTTATGGACAACCTTTTGTAACCAATAGTCATTCCATATATCTGCAGTCTGTTATTACCTCTGCACATAGTGGTCTACACTTTAACTGTTCATGTTTCCCATGCAGGATTAAATGACATTTCCACATACTAGCACTTCACAATTTGTGCTAATGTTACTATTACTTATGACAATGACGAAAACAATGAATCCTCTCAGCTTGTTTTAACAGATACATGGTATTTCTAAGCCGCCACTCATGATGTGTTTGCTGCCCCCAGTGGTTGTAATCCAAATCGTTTCCAACAAGTCCTCCAGATTTAATAACAGAATTCATTGTCTATGCTGTGTAGAACAACACATTGAAGCATTTTTTGATCTACACTTCAATCAGCAAGAGGACATAATTTGTGTGCAACTACCAAAACTGCAACAAAACGCGGGTGTAAAAAGGATGTCAGTTTTATAACTCCACGGTTGAGGTTTGGTTAGGCACAAAAACAACTTGGGTAAGATCATGGTTTCATGTCAAAATTGCGCTGAGGTTTGGGGACCTTCATTACTATGGTTACAGCAATACCAGACCACGTGGTTACGGTTAGGAAACGATTGTGGTTATGCTTTTAAGAAAGAATAACAGACTGTCAACATAAAACAAACAGTGCTGTCCGGTGTTTAAATTCGACTTTCTGTTGACACGTCCATCCACCCTGACCACCTCCCTTGATAGGCCTTTGTCTCTCCAACATAACGTCAATTGTGTGCATAATTGCATACAGGAAGGCTTTGTCACTTTATTGCAAACTGATTTTTTTGGGTACTCACAGAAAAGACCTATTCTGGGAGGACAGTGAAGACAAATCAGTGTGTTTTTACTGTGTGCGACAGTTGACAAGAGGAAATTTTGTATAGTTTATCATTACAGCTCTAATAAAAACCCTAAATCAACAAGGAATTACAGCTTCAATCTGTTGGACTATTCTACCTTTTGTCTACACCATATATTGATTGAACTGGTAAAGCTGTGTAAAAACTGGGCTTGATTACATCATTAATTAGTCCCCTGTGAACTGACAAAGTATGAAGCCACCTTATATCCGCTCTTGGTCGGGGACATCAATGAGATACTGTGGTAGCAGCTGTCAATCTGTGTTAACATGCTGGCTACAAGTGGAGCTTGTCTCAGTCTCCAGATGAAAAATTTAGTAACCAGACACCCACCTGCACACACCTCACACACCCATCCAGTTTGCCATTTCTTGCCATTCAAACAAGAGAGGAGACGGATCTTAACTTGATACGTCTAACTCTCTCTTGCATCATCCTTTACTGATTTTGCAAGTGTGTATGTGTATTTTTGACATAATCAGCATATGGATATCAATGTTTAAAACATCTACATTCTAAATGAAAGCCATCCTGTCTTTAGGGGGTTGATAAAATTAACGTTCCGATAATGACTCTGTAAACCATGCTTTGGCCCATTTAAGCACATGACAGACACATGCCCTACTTTAAGAGCGATGGCATCAGGAAACTAAGCTCAAACACGGACACAGACCTCTACAGGCCACAGCACCCAAGTCTTCCCCAAATCACCCCTGTGGTGTAAAATCAGCTGAGGAGACGAGACAAAGGCTGAGTCTCCCACAGCCGAGCAACACACCCCTGACTGCAGCCTGAGCCGCAACAATGAGAGCAGGAAGGCAGGCATTTCAGACCCTCACACACACAGACACACACACACACACACAGAAAGAGAAGAAGGACGGAGAGGGAGTGGGAGAGGTTTTTCTCTGCAGTTGTAACGCACACCAGCACCCAGCTGGCTGGCTGTGTGACACCAGTCTGCCCCCGAATTCAACCCCCACCCTCAAAGCTCTGACAGGAGCCTGAATCTTTCTCCTTCTCGTGATGCAGAAATGCAAGCGGCTTATCACAGCTCATCACAAATGGGCGTGTGTTTTTTTCCCCCCCCTTCCCTCTTTTTCCTCCTCTCGCTCTTCACTCTCTGCCGCACCACCAGCCTGCAACGCGAGCCTGTCTGCTAGTCTGCAGGGAGGAGATTTTAATCTTAACGTTAAAGCAAATAGAGGCATTTGGAGGAGATGTAAGCTGATGTAAAAAAAACAAAAATTCAAAAAGCAAATTATTTTACACTATTTACATTTGTTCACTCATTTGCTAATAGCTACTGGACAGTATAATTACAATCTAGCAGTATTTCATAAGGATACTTTGAAGTATATCACTGTGCATCAAAATGGCAAGAAAGAGTGATTGAAGATGAGGCCAACATCCCTGTTCAATATCCTCCCATCAGGCCTACACAATCCCCACAAGGCAACACATTCTTGTCAAAATCACTAAAATGTGATTCCAATCACTGCACAAACATTTTTTTTATCACGCTCATTATTTGCAATCTATTTAGTGTTTTTGCAACCTGTAAGGGGAATTTAGGGGAAATAATTAAACTACATGAATGCATTATTATAAGCATGTGCTACCAAAGTGATTCAAAAATGATGATTTTCTGCAATCCATAAACTCAGTTATGCACTGCTGACAGCAAAAGTCCATGCAGAAGCATTACAATCTTTAATTTTTTATTTTTTTACATTTTTTTTTTTTTTTTATGGGCGAGCCGGCTCGGCTCACGGCATGGATCCCCTCAACAAAGAAGATGCAGGACACCTTTAAGAAAACGCCTTATCTCCCTGCCTGGCTGTCACTATGGTACCCAGTCATGCCATTTCATTGTTCGCATTTACCCAGCGTCTCCCTGCAGTCAAAGTCTGACCAGGAAAGAACAATTTTCAAGCCGTCCTTGAGGCATGTAAATGCGTAAAGGATACATCGCTACGAGCGCAAAAGCCTTACGCAGTGATTTGCAACAGCGCGCATCAAAGTTCCTGCAGCCAGTGAAGCATAAATAACTCCTCTCTTTCTTTTTTTTTTTACTCACTGTGATCTTTGGGATGTTCTTTTTTCCTTGATAAGACATTTTTTCTTTTCCGATTCCACCTTTTCAAACCAAGCTGTAACAAAAAACCCCGATATTCCCTCTTTACGGATGCTGCAGCGGCCCTCGCCTGGATGGGAGCTTCAAGGAATGGTCGCCCCTCTGTCAGCGCGATGTACAGTGCCTCGCAGAGTGCTATAGGAGCGTCTATGGTCCAGTCACACGGCCCCTCCCTCAGTACGCTCAACTGGAAAAAGGCGCGATGGCACAGTCTTTCCAGCTGAGGGCGCAGTGGAGCAGCTGGAGACGCAGCCTGCAGCCAGTTGTCTGCATTACAGAGCTGTCACACATTGTTTGTTGCACATAAAGTATATATCTAATATCAGTCATCTTGGGGAGACTCATAGCCTTAAAGAAATGGAAAATTAACCTGAAATAGGTGGCTTAAAATGCACTCGCCTGTGGTTTATTCTGTGTATGTGCATTGATTTCTAAGGTCACTGAGGGGATGAATTGATCAGAGAAGGCGGCCGGTCATGACTGATTGGTTAGAAGAGGATTGGTGACAATGTAGGAGGACACAAAAGAAGGCTGGGTAGAATTTAAACATGAGCAACTAGAATTAGTTGCGTGTTTTAAAATCTTATTGCACCATTGCAATACGGGATGACTTCCACAATTATTTCACCGAATAAATGAACTTGCAGGAGAATATAGTGAGTGATGGTTTAAGGATGATTTGAAGCTTAAGCACAAGTCTTCATTCATAAACAAGAGCAAATGTATTTACATAAAATGCACATAAATGTGATCCCGGATCCATTCAAGTTTCAGATTTATGTGCATTAATCTTCACCAATCATAACCTACAGATTTTGTTTTTGTGAACACAGAGGAGCGAAATGGTGCAGCAGCTGTCACAGAGCCTGTCCAGCACATTACACACCCCACATGTCTACAACACACACACACACACACACACACTCCCTCTCTCTGCATGTCCCCACCCGGCCATGTGTCTCCATTGTTTGAACCTAAAGTGGAGCTCCCCCCCCTCACTCCACCAGCCCTTTCCTCTACCACTCCCCTCCTCAGCACTAATGCAGCCACAATGACGTTCTGAATGTGACGTGCTCTCAGATGCACGTGACAGAGGGTGTGCCGATGTGCATGCATGTGTGCACGTGCATGTAAATAAATTGTTGCAAAGTATAGAAATGACTTCGATTTACACAAAAATGAAAACTCATCAAGCTTATAATGTGTAATGAATCATATTTCCTATCTTTTAAGCGTTAAATGAACACCTTAAACATTTTTCTACAATTACAAATTCTGTATAGTCAAAGGAGATTTAAGCATTTTTCCAGATTTTGAATATAAATGAACAAGCAGTGATAATTTCCCTCCTTCTCAGGCTACCAGAAGACACAGCGGCTGCATGCTGACATGTCCTTTCATGGCAGTGAGGCAGTGCAAGGCATTACCTCAGCATTCCCAGGCCTGGGAGAATGCATCAACAACACACTGTTAAGTTTGCAGGCCTGCTACCTCTGCAGGCCACATTAACCAGCTGACACTGACAGACAGGAGGGCAGACAGATCAAGGATGCAGAAAAGACACTGTCAGGTCATCAAGCACAGCATCAGCACATTTCACACCTTAGTGGCTGCGGATGGCTTAAGGAACAGCCACTTTAATATACAGCAACCAAAATAGCTGATGAAAATTTGCAGGTTGGCATGTTTAGCACTGAGTAATTTGTGATGTCTTCATACAGAAGATAACAGAACTGAGGAGAGCAAAGGGATCTACTGTGACACTCATAAGTGCTGCACAAGCATTGCATTTGGGGAACTCAGCAGTTTAGTTATGCATTTTGTATTAGTATATTTCCATAAAGTGGGAAGACTTCCAAGACACACTAAAAAGCTGAGACTGCAATATACTTGGTTCCCTACATTAGTTAAACTAAAATAAATAAATAAATTCTGGAGCCTACACCTCTCGTAATGCAATAACATCTCTTCCTTGTATCAACTTTCTCACCCTTGTGTGTAATTACACCTTCTTCTCATTTCTCAGTTTGTACCCTGATTTCAATTCATTATATAGTATTATGTGACAATATATGGAGCCATCCATCTATCATCTATACACCGCTTAGTCCTCACTCGGGTCGCGTGGGGCTGGAGTCTATCCCAGCTGACTTAGGGCGAAGGCAGGAGACACCCTGGACAGGTCACCAGTCTATCACAGGGCTACACTTAGAGACAGACAACCAAGCACACTCACATTCACACCTATGATCAATTTAGAATCACCAATTAACCTCAACATGTTTTTGGACTTGTGGGAGGAACGGTGGTGATAACAACTGAGCCATCATGCAGCCCCCAATGTATGGATGCCAAACATTTTGTTTTTCTACTCCACATACAGGCTGTGAAGTACTAAAGAAGCACAACAGACAAAGGATACAAATAAATCGTGACAAATATGAATGGTTTGTGTTTCACAGCTGTGTGTCACGACACGTTTCCAGGTCACAGGTGCTGAAAAGGCTTCCGCAAAGGATACAGCAAGGATACACCTGTGCCTCCTTGCACATAGCTCCTCTGTCCTCCAATTGCATTTTAGGAATTGAGGCATCAGAAAAGATGTTGCACTAAAACTGATTTGCAGGTCAGTAGTAGGAGAGGAACAAAGAGCAAGAAGATTCAAAATAGAGGAATGAGATGAGCAGAGAGGCTTTCTGCTAGAAATCTGAGATGAAGCTCAAAGTGAGATTTTTCAGATTCAACAAAGCTCCTTCAGATAACTCCAGAAGACCTACATCCATTTTTACGAGCTCACAAAGACTAAAGTGGACATAAGGTGAACATTATATCCAGTGTTGCTCACTTGCAAGCACTTATGTAAATATTTCAATTCAGACAAGCTTAAACGTGTCTGTGCATGTGTGGAGACGTATGTTAACTGTATGTGTGTGTGTGTGTCAGTGTGAATGTAAAAAGCTCCTCCCAGTCTGACTTCCACCCAGCAGGACAAAAAAAGGGGGAGTTTCCCCCTTAAACCAGCTCCCCTGGACATCTGGCTGACCACTCCCCATTATTCACTCCACTGCGGCAGCTCATTGCACTAATTAGCCCAGCAGACAGGAGGAAACCAATCAAATCTGTAATTGTGATCATTATTGTTAACTATTACTACAAGCAACAGAACAGAAACACAAGCTGAAGGGTCGAGGGCATTTCAGCTTAGGTTTCTTTTGTCGTTAAATATCTAAGTTATTTGACCTGAGCCATAAAATAGACATCAATACTAAAAAAAAATGAGAAGACTACAATGACACTATAATGCCTTTTAAATTCTGAATTAATCTGAATCAAAGTAAAGCTGGTGCACTTGGAAATAACGTGGGAAAAGAGACAATGAAGTATCAGACATAATTAACAGCCAGCTTTTCCAGTTGTCATTAATTTGTAAGAAAAGATAAGTGTTAGGTCTAACTGGTGCCCTGAATGTACTGGATAATAAAAGAAGAGTAAACCCGTCCTGTCTGTTGTCTCTGTGAGTCTGATGTCCTCAAACAGTTTCCAAACCAAGCAAAAAAAAACACACACAGCTGAACCCTCTGTCTGCTGCTTTCTGCTGAATCATCTGGTCCCTCAGGAGGTGCAATATTGCAGTTCAGTATCAGACCACATGGGGGAAACTGGCTGCCTGCCTCGATGAAGGAGTCTACAGTTATGCTTCAAGGAAAAAATTAATCTTACACCATAATGAGCTGTAACAGTAGAGGCTGCAAATGGCAGGATGTGGGTTACACACAGAATTCAGGAGAGATTAATTAAGCATATTACGAGGACATAAATGCAGATAACACGGGTAGGTTAGTTAGGTTGCGTGCAGCAGCCCAGTCCCAAGCTGTGTGCTGCTGGACAGAGAATCAATAAGAGCACAGGAATCACAGAGGCATAAACAAGAAGGACAAATCATTCAACCAGAATAAAGGGGGGGGGGAGTATCTACAGGAACTTCTTGTTCTCAAAGAGAAAGCACTGTGCACCTTCAATCAGTCTCCCATTTGTCTCACAACAGGTCTGTTCTGCTTTGCTGCTGAGTCTCTGATGATTAAAAGTTGGATGACAGCAGAGTGAGATAAGAGTTCTGCCACCACAGCAGAAACAGCAGCAGACAGTCATGTTCTGACTGAATCAAGCAGTATTTATATAAGATGCAGAAACCGTGAGTGGGACTCATTAGGGTTCAGACATTCACAAGTCTCCAAACTTTAAGAGATATATGGCTGTGAACAAAAGTTTACAAAGTCCTGTAAAGATAGTATATAATATTTCAGCATTGAGCTTCTAATGATTCCTCCAACTCTTAATTTTCTGCATCTTTGTCACAAATAACCAATCATGTATATTGGTTCTTTCATTGATTTATAATAGGGAGAACATGCAAACTCCAAACAGAAAAACTTTAGGCTGATATTCAAACACAGGACCTTTTCAGCTGCTGCTCGTAACAAAATCTGCTGGGTCAAAGATATACATACAGCAATGCTAATATCTGGTTTAAAGTCATTTGGCCATTTTCATCTCAACTACGCACTTTTAGTAGTCATCCACAAGCTCTTGGAAGCTTCTGGTCGTGTCTTCGGCCACTCCTGATAGAATTGGTGCAGTTAAACTACTTTTTGACACAGACTTGTTTCTGCATCACAGTTTCTTGAAGTCAGGACTTTGGGGAGACCAATCCAAAACCTTAAGTCTGGCCTAATTTAGCCAAATTTTACTGCTGTTTTTGATGTACGTTTTGTGTCACTGTCTTGTTGAAACATCCAACTACGTCCAATATCAAACCTTCTGGCTAATGATTTTAGGATTTTCTGCAAAATATGGAGGTAATCCTCCTCTTTCATTATTAAATTTGTATAAAGCAACAGTTTCAGCACTACCCAAGAGCATAATACTGCCACCACCATGCTTTGCAGCAGGTCTGGTGTTTGTGAGGTTTAAACCCTCACCTTCTTTCCTCCGAACATATTGCTGGTCATTGTGGCTGAATAGCAAAAAAATATGCACTTCATCTGACCACAGAACTTTGTCCCTGTGATGAGCAGCAAACTTCAGTCAAACTTTAAGGTGTTGTTTCTGAAGAAAAGG